CTCTGGGCTCCGGAGGCTCTCTGGAAGCCGGAAATGGGCCCATTTCCGGCCTTCCCGAACTTCCAGGAGGCCCTTTTTTACCCTCTCTGAGCCTCTGTGCGTGCCCTACTCCTACCTGCATCCAAAACTGGCTGCCTTGGGACTCCTGGGAGGGGAGGGATGGGCAGGGCCAGCCAGGAGTGGGATTTGGGATTCTCCAAACTGCACAGGAGGCTCTCCTGAACACCTGTGAACCCTCAGAAGCCTATCCCTGAAAGGATTTATATTCCTTGCATCCTTTTGGGTCCTTGAAACACTTTGAGTTAGTATCTGTGTCCTCAGAGTCACCTCAGTAGTGCTCCTAGTTCCTGTAGTCTTCATTTTTTTCCCCCCTTTGGAAATCCATTCCTACTCCCACACCATTGAAAGGGCGTCCATCCCAAATTGTATAGCTAAAAGAAAAAACACCTTTGGGATAACCATGACCTGGACGACTGAGAATCTCTATAGAATATTTGGAGAAGCACAGATAGGTTGCAATAGGTTCACCATACTACACTCCTGCCATCTCTTCAGATGTGTATTTTCCTGGGGAATTCACTACCATAAAAACTTTAAAAATGGTCTGACTTCCTTAAGCAGGTGGCAATAGCTGCAGCATGCATAGCCATGTCTTTTCTAAAGTACTTTCTCATTCCACCTCCTTCATAAACAGGGACTTTTGCACTATTTACTTATTGATTGGCTTTCATTAGGGCTACAGATTTTGTACAGAATATACAACCCAAAGCAGAACTTTGGATCTTTAAACTCATTTATAAACCTAGAAACATCTCATAGACATTGATCCTAAAACTAATTGGAACCACTGCAGGAAGTCTTCCTGTTTAATTTCTTATATACCTTTGTTGAGGATGCCACTTTTCGGATACATGTTGATAGAATTGATTGAGTTATTTTTTGGGACTTCAAAGAGAGCCAGGGTAAAATGAAACAAGTAAAAAAAAAGTCCCTTTCTTCCACATTTCAGTGGCTCTCTCAGTGGTGGGATTCAATTTTTTTTACTACCGGTTCTGTGGGCGTGGCTGGTTGGTGTGGCATGGCTTGGTGGGTGTGGCAAGGGAAGTTTACTGCAAAACCCCATTCCCTCCCCACCCCACTAACCTGCTTTCCAGCTCTGTTCTCCTATGCAGGGCAACAAAAGAAGACCCAGCCGATCAGCTGGGACTCATGAGGCAGAGAATACATGGGGGTGGGGCTAGTCAGAGGTGGTATTTGCAGGTTCTCCAAACTACTCAAACTTTCCACTACCGGTTCTCCAGAACTGGTCAGAACCTGCTGAATACCATCTCTGGTCTCTCTGCCTTTCTATATTTGAGCATTTATGCAAGTGAGTCTGGCTCTTTGGGGCAAATATAGGTCACTGAGCAAAATAGTTTTTAAAAAAGATTAAGTAGGCGGGTTTATGAGAAAACAATGAGAGATTTTTTTTGTTGGATACCACTGGTAGGATTTGGGTTGGCCATTTGGACCAGAAGATATCCTTTTGTGGTATTTTGGTTAGGCCTAATAAAGATACATAAAGATTTATTGTGTATTTTTTGGGTGAAGTACGTGTGATAGATGGAATAAGAATTTATGGCAAGGCTACAACACATACTACTATATATGCAGGAAGCACATACTTTGTTCATTGTTGAATTCCATATTAGCATGAATTCTAGAAACATCTATCTTCTTGAACATGTTTATTCAAATAATGTGACCAGACCTATGACAGTTCTCCCACATTTTGCCCTACAAGAAATCGATCAAGTAAAATGAAATTAAACGATAGCAAAAATCACATTCCAAGAAGCATAATCACATTTTCTTGGCTGTCTTTGCATAGGAAGGGAAAACTCCGATGGATCTTGTTCTACAGTGGCAAAATGGCACCAAGGAAATCTTCAACAACCTGAAGGAGAATGCTTATAAGAATTCTCCCATAGACACGTTCTGAAAAACAGAACCAGATTGAAAGCTTCAGGGAATGATTGCTTCTTTATAGATGGCACCGTTATCAGAGTGAAGAACAATGTGAAGAACAGTTCCTGGATACGTGATGCCATCTTTGCCTCATCGAGCTCGTGTTTTTGCCTTTGGAATAAGTCTGAGGACAAAAGGTTCAAAGGCATGGCTTGAATGTTACAATTCCACTGGTTTCAAGGTTTCCTTTTTTTAAATTAATTCCTATTTATATCTTGTATTCCATTATTCCCTTTTTCTTGGATGACGTTTCTTTGGCTGTTGTTTCTCTGGTGATCTTTCAAAACGTCCTGTTGATACTAGAGTTGTAGAAGGTTGCTGAAGTGATAATCAGCCAAAAGCATTTACACAAGACAAGCACGTTTCTGAATGTATTAGCAGCTTCACAAGCTTCTCTCCTCCCAACTTAACCCCAACATAATTAATTTTTAGGTGTCACACAAAATTTTTGCTGAATTGTTATTATCAGAGTAAACTGTTAAAGCCAAAGAATGGGGGCTGGGGAACAGAGGTATGGAAAGCAACGACATTAGAAAGGAACAGCGGAAGTAGAATGAAAAAAGGAACAGATCTGGTTTATTTTAAAGTTTATTAAGAAGAGTAGACCAGTTTTACTCAAAATAGTCGACAATGAACTACAAAGTTCAAAGCGGAATGTTACATAAAGGAAGGTGTTGAAGTGAAGTAGAAGAAAATGCAATTATTTTTACATGCTAGGTAATGGAAGAAAAGTTATGTATATTTGTAGGGCTTTTTATGTACATTTTGTATTAAATTCCCTTTAAGATTTCAAATAAGAGAATGGTTTGTTCTGCCTGAATACTTTATTTGTCTGAAGATTGTTATGTTCCATCAGCTAACAAAAAAATGCTTGCCAATTCTCAGATAAGTGTTAGAGGTTATAAATAAACTATGAAAAAACTTTACCTTCTCAAATCAGATGGCCAACAGTTAAAATTGTTGACACTGACTAGATCAATATTTTGCACCAAACTATGATACCATTTGTTTAGCTCTGGCTTAGTAGTTGAGGTAAATTGTGGTACTATACCATCATTACTGGCTTAAGAACATGAACAAAGCCAATGGTCATACATTCATAAAGTTTAAGTAAACCATTGCTAGCCACCATGAGAGGCTACTAAATACTGCAGAGTGTAATTATGAGTGGTAAAAACCCACAGCAGTTTTGAATGGGTGCTGAATGAAAGCAGGGTGAATACAAGATGAGTGACCAGTAACCAGTGTGAAAGCAGCATGTTGAGATGGTTTGGCCATATAGAAAGAATGAATTGCATTTGAATGAATGTGTAAGTTGAGGTGAAGACCAATAAAAGGAGCCATGGCAGCAGGTTAGAATGCTGTATTACAGGCTAATTCTGCCGACTGCAAGCAGTTCAATTCTAACTGGCTCCAGGTTGACTCAGCCTTCCATCCTTCTGAGGTCGGTAAAATGAGGACCCAGATTGTTGGGGGCAATATGCTATCTCTGTAAACTGCTTGGAGAGCTGTAAAGCACTGTGAAGCAGTATATAAGTCTAAGTGCCATTGCCAAAAATTGCAGCTATACAAACTTGGATGAGATCCTCAAAAGGAGAGTAAAAGCAATGTATGATGGTGCAGGGGAAAATGGTTTGCAATTGCAGAAACATACAGAGGGATATAGTTAATGGTGTTGGTATAAACTAGAGTTAAACTTCCTTTACTTTTATCTCTTGTTGTTTCTTTGGCCATTTCTAATTCTTCAGCATTTTATGTGACATAGCTTATCCCAAAAGAAAATAGCACAAATGCGTCATTGCATGGACACAGAAACAATAAAGCCCCAATTCAAATTTTATGGAACAACTTCCAACACTTACCTGAAATGTTTCAAAAGCATATTGCAAGCCCCTTGACCAACATCGCAATTACTACTGAGATTGCTGGTTTGAGGGCTAGAGCCACCCAATGGCCTCAATATTGGCATACCTGGATCCTGAACCACTGCTCCATGCTTTCCACAAAGTTACATATGACAACAGCACAATCTTTGTGCTATAGATTACCTGTGGGTGTTCTGATCAGACAGAGAGCAAAGTTGAAGGAGCAATATAGAGCAGAGAGGCTGCAGGAGATAACAGTAGTGGGACACTGAACCTTCCATCCCCAGCTTTGGTTTCCTGATATGCTGGATATCTGAGTATCTTCCTTCTACCCAACATTCTTTGAACAGAACCATCTTTTAACTCCCACCTGAGATCTATTGTATATACCGCATCCTTGAACCAAAAACTGTTACTGCGATATCTACTTAAGATTCTTCATTTACTGTAATCCTTTAGCTTCTAGAACAGTTTTATTATCATCTTACGAGGAAGTGATAAAGCCATTAGAAAGGTAATTGGAAATGGAAAGGCTGAATTATATATAACATTCGTAAAATAAGATGGAAATAGGCAAACAAGTCTTACAAACATGTACTATATTACATGTTTATTGCCTCTTTTCAGGTAAATACACATTGTCTCTGACGTCACCTCATTTTGTCTCATACTACAGTTGGCAAGTTTATATAAAAGGAGATTTATATTGCTGCCTATTCGCACATGGTGACTCAAGGTGGCTTACAAATATACAAAAACATCGTATAAAAAACAACAAATAATAAAAGAGGGAATACAATAAATACAATAATAAAATAAACCCCCCACCCTCCACCCCGGCGACAACACATCATATGAGCCATTTAATGGACTCCATCCTACTCTGCGTTCCCCAGGCCCGCTGGCAGAACCAGGTCTTTAGCGCTTTCTAGAAGAGTGTCAAGAGTGGGGACCATTCTAATCTCTGGGGGAATGATGTTCCAGAGAAGGAGCCACCATGGAGAAGGCCCTTCTTCTGGGTCCCACCAGGTGTTATCTCCCTCAGGAAAGGGACCCGCAGCATTCCTTGCCTCCCAGCTCTGGTGGGTCATATAGATGTGATCGGCAAGAGACGGTCCCTCAGATAACCTGATTCCAAGGCATGAAGGACCAGCACCTTGAATTGGACCTGGAAGCAAATTGGCTACCTCTCAATCCAGGATAGGACAGTTCTTCTAGTTAAATTGCACAAATAATCTGGATGCTCCACTATTACAGCTATGAGTAAAGTGACAAGAAACTTTGCTCATGGTTAAGGCTGCAAATTCTTCAAATGATTACCAACACTAGGCTGCATTAACTCTGTAATCAGGAACTCAAAAGGTGGAATTCCTGTTAACATTATAATCCTGTGATGAAATTACCAGTATCGTAATGATTTTCAGCAAGCATATGTAGTCAGATTAATAAAAGCCAACATTTTTTTAAAAAAAATTAAGTTACGTATGTAGAATGTCCATTCTTGTTTTGATCATTAAGAGTGGGCAAACGGATAGTGATAGTTGTATTTGGTAAGACGTATTTATTATAAAAGAAAGCACAGTTATATGCAAGTACTCCCACTTCTTTCAAATGTTGTACTGCCATGTTTCACAGACAATATTCAAGGAGCATCATCTATTTCTCTTGAAGTCCACATAGAGAATCACCAAGGTAGATACTCAGATCAACTTAGTGTTAAGAGATTCCTCCTCTTCATCAGCTATCCTAAGGTAAGACAGCATTGGAGTTTGAGATGATGGGTGTCAAGAGAGGTAAATTTGTAATTCACAAATCTGTTTTGGCTTTTTTACTGAGTGGAGGACCATCACCATCATCATCATCCCCATCATCTTCTTCTTCTTCTTCATCATCATCATCAACTTCTTCTTCTTCTTCTGGAAGTTGAGGTTTCTTCACTGTGTACACCACTCCACAGGCAGTCTTCCTGGCTTCTGAAATGAAAGAAGAATGTTTTACAAACCACACCAATGGAAAAGTATGATGAGATGTGTGATGTAAGAACCTGTTCTAATCCAGCCCACCGGTGTCAAACCCACTGAGTCATGTTGCCGTCATATGATGTATTGCAATGTTTTTCACTTTCACGGAACTGGGGTGGGCGTGGCCTACGTGTGACTCATCCAGCCCGCGGATCACCAGTTTGACACCCCTGAACTACCCAATGCAGCATGGAATTGAATTACCGATTGCAATATTATGGGGCCAAAGAGCAGTCTTATGTAGCTGAAAAGAAAGTTCAGCATCACATGCAATAGTGTCATATTAAGCCATAATGAATCCAGTTCTCTTTCCTATATAAGCCGCCCTCAAATAGAAACTGCGGGCCAGGGTAGATCATCTCATCCTAAGACTCCAGAAACTAGCTTGGTACAAATAATTTCATTATCTTCTTGATTATCTACAACTTATACGGTGAAGGACTATAGTTAATCCAAGGAAATGCTTACAAATCCTATGCCTATTCAGAACAATAGGAGAGGACAACTTTTTTCAACCTAGAATCATTCAAATGAAGATAAATACAAGTTTCTTGCAATCAAAGACCACATAAAACAAACAAATCATAATGGAATAAAACAACAAATGAAAACCAACAGTATAAAACTTATCTTTAAAAAGAAAACTATGTTTTTTCCTCCAGTAATTATAGCTGCTGGAGGCAACAGGTGGAACAAATAAGGGAAAGACTCATCATCCCTTCTTTGCATTATATATCTGTCAATATTGGTAATGCGCTAATCTTATCATACAGGTAGCCCTTGACTTACGACAGTTCATTTAGTGACCATCCGAAGTGACAACAAAAAGTGACTTATGACTGTTTTTTCACACTTAGGACCATTGGGAGCATCCCCATGGCCACGTGACAACTGGCAACTGACTCATATTTATGATGGTTGTAGTGTCCCGGGGTCATGTGATTCACCTTTTGCGACTTTCCAACAAGCAAAGTCGGTGAGGAAGCCAAATTCACTTAACAACTGTGGCCAGAAAGGTTGCAAAATGGAGCAGAATTTACTTAACAACTGGGTCACTTAGCAAGAGAAATGTTGGGCTCAATTTGTGGCTGTATGTCGAGGACTCTCTGTACAAAGTTCATCGCTCTTTGGACTCACCTCCATGAAGAAGGACGGCTCGGGTGTTGGTCGAAACAGCTGCCTTGCCATTGCTTCCTGAAAGGCCGAACAACCAACCTCTGCCATTTTTTATTAAGGATTCTTCATGTCTCAAAAGATAAACATGCTTTTTTTCATCCATGGACAACAGCTAAAGCAATTCAGGGGGAAGGAAAGAATGAACTCAACCTTTAATAGACGCATGGCCCTCTTACCTGTCCATCTACCTGTGCTGGAATACGAGGGCGGGAGAAAAAAAAATGAGATCAGAAATCTTGGCCAACGGAATGATTCATCTCATTACATCCTTTTCTGGCCACAGGTATTTGGTATTAAATGTATCCGATACCTGACAGAAAGTCCATGTTTTATTTCCCTGATTCTTTTAAATGGAGTCAGTATTTACACACTTAAGGTCAAACCTGTCCAGATTCTATTGTTCAAACCAAGGCAGATTCTGGTTATTTTTTTCTAGCCTGGTTTGCTGACGTAACAGTCATGTGGTGGGTCTAGTACCCTGCTGGCCGTGTTTTGTATGCCATTTCCTTTCCAAATGTCTTACATCGCTCGAGGAAGAGATGCTATTCTATGCCCGATTGTCCCTTTTTCCCCCTCCAGATACATATCGTAGCACTTTTCACAGTTCGGGGCTTTATCGATTCATTTTAAAAGGATACATATTAGCCACATCATATGGACCTCGCAATTGGATAGGCTACAACAGAAAGGGGGGGGGGAGGGAGAGAAGAGATGAATACAGATGCAGATCATAAATTGTAATTGCATACTTGAGAATTTTATAAAGCACAGCACTCCGAGAGTCAATACTTGAGACCATACAAGAGAAGCCTTCTTCCGCCAACCATCAAAACAGCTCATTAATTTTGATGGGAGACAACTGGATCATGTAATTACTACTTAAATGATCAAGATTTTATGTAACAACATCAGCTTCCTCCCAGACAAAGAAATATTCAATTTTATGCTGAAATATTTGTAATAGAATCTGAACTAACAATCTGAACTGGTTTCTCCATGCGTCATCCTTAGGGAAGCGTGCAAACCAGCGCCTGCATTTCCCACGTCGGATGAGGAGAGCACATTTTTCTCCTTCTGTCCTGGCCATTTTTTTTTAATTTTTTTTTACAGAGAGCATTTTAACAAACTGCATCAGTGCAGTTGAGAGCATTTTAATAAACTGCATCACTGTCTGGTTTGGTGGCAGCAGTGCCTCAGACAGAAAGTCCATACAGAGAGTGGTAAGGACAGCCGAGCAGATTATAGGAAGCTCACTTCCTGTTATTCAAGATACTGCTTATGAGCGCTATGTCCTTAGAGCTCAAAGCATTGTTAGAGACCCCACACACCCACTCCATGGTCTGTTTCTGTTACTCCCTCTGGGAGGAGGTTTCAAAATATTTCTAGCAGGACTACCCAATTCTCTTAACAGGTTTTTTGCCCTATGCCATCCGTCTGGTAAACTCGCAAGGTTCATTCTTCTAGCCATAAACATATATACAGTATATATATTGTTTCTCCGTGTCATATAATATATATGGGTATACACATAATTTTGTATTTATATTTTTAGTCATGTTTATGTAGTGTATATTGGAGGTGGTGACCCTGAGATTGTATGCAACAAAATTTCATTTTAATATATGCAAATTAGTGTACATTCAAAGTGACAATAAAGTTATTGTTCTGTTCTATTCTTATTCTATTCTTATTCTATTCTTATTCTATTCTATTCTATTCTATTCTATTTCTTCCAACTCAAGTACAGGCACCTGCTCCCTTCTATTTTTCTTGGGCATCTCATGAACCCCTTAGGATTCTCTTTAAAAGCAAGTATTTTTTCCTGTCTTCACTAATAATGAAATTTTGGGTGTCAATGGCTGGATGCAGCATTAGCCCCTGGAGAAGGTAGACAGGCATGCCTATCTCCCCTCTGTTCACATTCATACTCCTCCCATCAAGCCAAATGAAGGCAGTGACATTCATAGGTGGCATATATGTGGGTGTCACGAAGTCAAAAAGGTGGTCACGTCAATGCAACCTAACAGGTCCAAAAGGGGCAGGCCTTTGAATGCGCTGCCATGACCACCATTTTAGATTTTTTGACACACCCGCCTGGAACTGGAGTGTGACGATGGGAAGAGAGATCAGAAAACCTGACTGACTCATTTGATTAGACTACAGGGATTTAATGTTAAATACGTACGATGTTCGGGAAGTAGGTACCATATTTCCCCCTATTTCTTTCATATCTACAATGAGTCAGTATTTATGGACTGATGGCCAAACTCTCCAAGTTCCAGTGGAGTTTTTGGCAAGCCACTGAATGAAAAGGGTAATTATCAACTAGAAGGTACAAGAGGATCCCTTGACTTTGTGATGGAAGGAAGCAGAGAATTTTGGGCATCTGAATGAGCCACAGAAAAACAAATACGGATTGGCTGAATCAGATATCGGCTGCTTTAAATAGAGGAGGCATCCATTCAAACAATTGCTGTTCCTTAAAGAATCAGAATGGCACCTAAACCCATCCTTACCTTTTCAGCTCCACTGGACAGAACGATATTCTAGGAAAGAAGAACAACACAAGTGTTGTTTATTTTAGGCATTGAATCCACATAATTGGGCCAAACAGAGTACCACATTCTCAGAGAACATTCCTATCTGCCCAAATGTCAGGACACTCTTTTTTGGAGGACAAAAGCTAAAACGCTGCCCTCTCTGTGTGAAATTAACTGAAGAATAAAAAGGGAAAAAATCCTTTTTCTTCTCTCACAGTCTAGAAGCTTCCTTTTTTGATGTATTTATTGCTTACTTTAATGGCAGGGAGGGAGGGAAGGAGGGGTATTCCTTGCCATCAAGCTTAAATCTAGAAGACAGAGCACAAGGTAACAAATAAAAGCCAACCCAAACATCAGACTTTAGAAGGGATTAATATGTGTATGCATGTCAGGTGGGAGAAATTAAGTACATCTACGAGTTAAGTACATTTGGAGTGGAGTGGCAGCGATAGCTTCCAAGACCAAATCAAAGTGGATATCTGGCGGAAAAATATCCATTTTAAAACAAGTATTAAAACGTCATTGAATGTTAACATTCATAACACTTAAAATGCACACGTGTTTCCATAAATCAGCACCTATAAATTGTTCTTTGTCCCTCTTATTTTTGTTTTTTATGCTCCTACTCTCCTCTTAACTTTCTTTCTTTCTTTCTCTTTCTTCTCTCTCTCTCTCTTTCTTCTTTCCTTACTTCCTTCTTTGTTTTAATGTTGTATCCATTTCATTAAAAGAAATTACAAAGCCTAAATCTGGTAAGCCATCCCATCATATTAAATAAAACTCAATGTTAAATTAAAACAATACCATTAATGAGATTACTCCTCAAGCATTTCTGAAGTTTCCCTTTCTCCCAGTGTGAGAAACCTTAGACCAGCAGCAATTTGTAGAGAGGTTTTGGGGAGCCATGTGGGGCCCAGGGACTTGTGCAACTTTATCTTGTAGTTTCAGTAACAGTAAACAACAATAAATCCAACAGTAAAGTGCTGGTGAGTCTACCTTATATTTTATAATATAACATATAATATAAAAATAATAATAATTGTGTAAAATTAAGGTAAGGTTTTTTTCTTCCTTTCTCAGTTTGTATTTTTAGTTTTTTAAATTTGCCTTTTAAGATTAAATATTGTCTTGTTAATTGTGTATATGTAAACATAATAATTCAGTAAAGTTCTGGCAATTCATTCCGGCACCAGTGGAGGAAATCAGGGCAATTTTCTTGGAAGAGAAACAAGTTTATTCCTTTTTCAGAAATTTCTAGCGGCATTCCTGGGGAGACTGGGGGCATGCCCATATTTACACATGCATAGGCACTAATTGAAACCCTCCCCATTTTTTGTAGCAAGTGCTCAAAGCTACCTCAGCACCTCATGTTTCACCAAAAGGCTCTGTACGCAGCTGACTGGTTAGATTTTTTCTTTGATTTCCTTCCCAAAGATGCTTTTCAAAAGGCAACTGAACTAGACAGTTCAGTTCTTGGTTTTTTTTCCCTCTTGAAAATGTTTCACTTCTTGGATTAGAAGCAAACCGTTTTCAAGCGGAAAAAACACACCAAGAAAGTTCAGTTGCCTTTTGAAAAGCATCTTTGGGACAAGCAGGATCTGAATGATTGAGAATCTCCAGAGACATTTTATTTCCTTCAGGATTTTGCTAGCTTTTCAGGTACAAAGCCCTGACAAACAACTTGTCCTCCTCTTCATTTAACACAATTAAGTCCAACTAATATTTAGTTGGACATATTGAACAGATGGTTGCTGATGAGTCCATTTATTATCATTGCTGTAGCAGGGGCACCTACGGAGTAGGGTGTCAAAAAAATATCAAAATGGTGGTTGCAACTCCATGATCAAAACCCCACCTCTTCGTGCATGTGGAAACACATTACAAAGACTGAGGCTTTGATTGCATGGTCCGGCTGCCATTTTGACTTGTTCAAATCCCCCACCTCAGTGTTCCAAAATATAGGGGTAAGCATGTTACGTTACATTAATTCATACCAGATAACTGGAAATTCTAGTGATGGAAGACATGGGGCAAACACTCCTTGATTTTTGATCTCACCTTTCCACGGCAGATCTGCAACAGGTTGTAGGCATTTGAGATTGTGTACCGTCGCATTGTGGAATCTTTGATGGCAGGAACGTAAAGAAGTTCGAAATAGACACCTCGCTCTATTGCCTGTATAAGAAAGAGAAAAATAATCATCAGTTGAATTAAATGGGGAAGGATAGGGGGAAAAAAGAGACAGCCCCTGGGATGAAGTGATTGCCTGAAACATGACATCAGACCGGTTCCAGTAACTTGGGTAACAAGTCACAATCTAAACAAGCCAGAATGTGTAAGCTACAACAAGTTCTGGCTACTAAATGAAGCTGGCTATTCAAAATACCATGCAATTTATTCAAAGGTGTAGTGTTGAATTGAACATTGAACAAGAAGGTTTACTGTTACGTATTAAATCAGCCAGTAATGTATTAGTTTCTATCCACCTCATAACCAAGAGAAATGTCAAGACTCTTATTAAAGGACTGCCTTACCGCATTGACAGATGGTCTCTTGATGAAGAAGGGCAGCTTTTCTGTCACCTCAACACACACCAAGTCTACATCTAAGGTTGTGCAGGCCACCTAAATTATCGTTATGAAAGCGTACGGTCAGACAATACACTTTAAAAGAAACTGTTCCACGCAGAAATGATAATTGTGTTTCCAAGAGGATCAATATATAGCAGGACTATATCCAAAGACCAAATTATATTACACAAAAAGCTGGAGTCCCAACTCTTCTACTGCAAAACAGGCTATAAACCATCCAACTTCCATCTGCTTCCCAGCCCCACTCAACCTGATGCAGCTGTTGACTTGACTTTTGTGATACTTCACCTACATTCCTGTGAAGGCCGAGTTTAATTCACTAAAAAAAATGGTAGAAGGTTGTACTTCTGCACACAGGATTAGCTCAGAAATTTGTGATCAGTGGTTAGGACCCAGTTCACAAGTCACCCGATACAAAAATCCTTTCCTAATCAGCAATCTAATCTAGGGAAAATATATTTTTAGCGGTTGCTATTGTTAGCTATGATTGGGGGAAAAAAAATCTTTCTTGGTTCCCCATGAGTCACTTAAGAGCTTTATAAAGTAGATTGCCACGTACATCTTGCTATTCTCTGACATTTTATTCTTGTCGTTCTTCAAAAATAGGAAATTTTTAAAAATAAGCACAGAAAAACAGAGCCAGCCTTCTGAAAGGGTTCTTAGAAACAGTAAAAAGCTGCCACTTAAAAACAACTGTTCACCAAGATCAAAGATGCTGTGAAAACTTTTTGGGGACAAAGGCCCTGATCCCCCCCCCCCCCCCCCCCACACACACACCTTTTATCCTGAAGAAATATAAACAATAGATTTAGCATAAAGAAAGGGAAAGATTCTTTATTACTATTAGGAGACTTAAATGACAATTTTCTGTCTTCATAATCAAAGCAAGAGCGCCATCTGCTGAAGAGTGGATTGTGAACTCTAGGACATATGCTATGCAAAAGCCCTAACTTCCTGGCTGATTTGTGATAACTCTCCCAGAAGGCGTGTGTGTGTGTGTTTTAAAGATTTAACAACCATAGCTAGACATGATATGATTTGTATAATTAGGAACTCTGGGGAAGGTTTTTATTTTTTTTAAAAGAATGTAAGCTTCAAGCAAATGGGAAAGAGGCAGGCCTTTGGTTGCGGGTCTGTGTCTGCCATCTTGCAAAATTTATATGCACCACCACCAATGCCTTCCCCTCCGGTGCCCTGGGATCTAGAAATAATTAACAACATGACTGGTGAGCAATTGTATTCATGATATTTAGTGCAACGAAAAAAACTTATGTAAATTTTGTTCCCCTTGCTATACATAAAAGGCATTAGTGCAGAAAAACTTGCCTACCCTATCTAGAAATCCAAACATTCCCTTCAAGGAATAATTTTACAGCGTTCTAGATAACTTCATTCCACTTGACAACAAGAGCTTGGAACTCAATAGGTGACTTGCAAACCAGGTCTCAATGGATGCTGGTATTCCACTTGAGGAAGTATCTACAGATACAGGTAATCCTCAGGTGATGACCATATGTATAGAGGTGAACAAATGGGAAGTTATGACTGGTTCTTGACATTCTGGCTATTGCAGTGTCCCCACAGTCATGTGATCAAACTTTGGGTGCTTGGTGATCAGCCTGTGTTTCTGACTGGTTACAGCAGGGGTCCCCAACCACCGGGCCGCGGACCGGTACCGGTCCGTGGAACATTTTCTACCGGGCTGCCGGTTTGCTGGGCGCCGCCATCTTGTTTCGATGAGAAAGTGCTTCCGGTGAGCTTTTCCGGTTGGAAAGTGGCGTTTGGGTCCTGAAGGAATCCTCGCGCCTTAGTTTCATCGAAGGGGGGGGGCAGCTTCGAACAAAACTAAGGTGCGAGGATTCTTTCAGCACCCAAGGCAAGGCAAGCCGAGCGACGGTCCCGAAGCCCATCGACAAAGGTACAAAGGAGGAGTTGAAGGTGGCGGGGAGAAGCGGGGGACGGCTGGCTGGCTGGTCGCTCGGCTCGCCTTGCCATGTGTGCTGATGCCGGTACCGGGCCGCGGATCTTTTTGTGATGCTGGTACCGGACCGTGGCACAAAAAAGGTTGGGGGCCACTGGGTTACAGCATCCCAGTCATGTTCTCCTCATGCCTTGGGCAAACTACCCCCTATCTTCTCCCCATATCTTCCCTTTGGACACCCTGTACTCCACCACCCTCAGTTGAGCTTCACCATTGTCTTCCTCCCACTGCTGGCCTGGGATCTAGGCACTGGGTGAAGGTGCAGCCCCAGAATACACAAGGCAAGCATAGCAAGGTAACAAAACCTTTTCTGCCCAAGGGAGCTCATCGGGGCTGGCCAGAGAAGAGGCAGCGGGATGAAGTTGGCAAAGGCAGGCTAGTGGTATAAGCAAAGGAACCCCATTTCCTGATGCCAGCACACGACACTATCTTGCAGAGCACTGAGAGTGCAATGGGATAGAGAGAGAGAGAGCAGTTCCCTGGGTAAAAGTGGTAAGTGGAGGAGATATGCTATTTGGGTTAGTGGCAGAGATGGAGGAAGTGGAAGGAAAGCTTCCTGGAAGCCCAACATTTCTGAGAAAACTTCTCAGAAAACAACAACTGAATGAAAAACTGCTGGTGACCTTCTACCACTGGACCATAGAGAGTATCTTAACTTACTACGCCTCTGTATGGTTTGCCAATTGCACAGTGGCAGATAGGAAAGCATTCCAGAGGGTTAACGTCATTGCTCAGAAGATCATTGGTTGCCCTCTCCCCTCTTTGGAAGAGCTTTATAGCTCCCGCTGCCTTAAGAAAGTTCAAAACATTCTCAAAGATCCATCTCAGCCTGGGAACCCTTTCTTTGAACTATTTCCATCTGGCAGACAGTACAGGACAATAAAAACAAGAACAAATAGGCTGAAAAGCAGCTTCTATCCCAGGGCAGTAACTATATTGAATTCTGCTGTATGGTGCAGTGTATTCTGCTGTATGGTGTTGGTGCAGTGTCGGGGGTTTTCGATTCAATGTATGGAGGGTGAAGGATGTGTGTTTATGTTTATTTTCATGGTCATGGTCCTAATGTGCACTGAAGATGGTGTTTGATTTCGTTGTACGAGGTGCAATGACAATAAAGTAAACTAACTAACTAACAGAAGCTCTGCAATTCATGCTTAACGACCATTTTCCTTAGTCGTGGAAATTCCAGCCACAGTTAGGATCGTAACCCAAGGCTTACTTGTACTTGGTATTAGCAAGCAAACTTTCATGCTATTGTTCTTCCTTTGCACTCTCATTTACATTTCAGTTCCCATGCTAGGGAAAGGCCAACTTACGTGAAAGAGTTTTACATTCTTAGGAAATACAGCAAAGATGTCATAATATTTGATATTTGTGGACGTCGCTCTCTGGGTATAGAAGAAGAAAAAAACAAAAACAGAATATAAGGTATTATTAGATTAAAAAGGAAGAACACTTGTGGCTTAGTACACAAAAATATTGAGTAATTCAGTGGCCCAACAACAGACTGCACTTAGAAGCTGTTCCATTCAATATCAAAGCTGTTGCTAGCATTGTGAAATCAATCAAATGGAACAAAGACTCTTTGTCAAACTCTTAGGATTTCAATTACTCAAGGTAATCTTGAGTTATTTAAATAATAATAATAAAGATGTGATAAAAGAAAGTTTTAAAAATTACTGAAGGAACATGAAGCAACCCCAGATTAGGGACTATGTTTTTTTAACTCACTATATGGATCAAAAATAAATTGATGATGGTAAATATTACAGATTATTCATAAAATAATTTTTCCTCATCACCAAGTTGCTCAAAATTAACTTAATATGAGGAAGATATTGTGTTCATTTTAGAAGCTGCACATATGGAATTGCTAAGTGAATAAAAAAAATCACCACAAAATGACTTGGTACAACTTTTATACAAATACTTGCAAAAGCATTATTTCTTATCTTACTAACATACCTGATGTATTAAAATAAAATGTCTTACTTGTGACTTAAAAAAAAAACCTGTGAAAGTGCTTATGTGTCCAAATTACAGGTTCAGATTATAGGTGAGCACATAGAAAATACTGCATAATAAAGAAATGTTTAGGATTCATACAGTATCATTAGTTATTCTAAACGATGTTTTGAGAAATAAAATTAACAAGTTTAAAATGGGAAAATATTTCCAAAAAGCTCTATCAAAGGTCTTTACATTATTTTATCTGTTTACTTTTATTCCACTTTTTATTATTCTTATAAATAACTCAGGGCAGCAATCATACCTAATACTCCTTCCTCATCCTCTTTTCCCCACAACAGCAACCCTGTGAGGTAGGTTTAGGCTGAGAGAATGACTGAGCCAAAGTCACCCAACCAGCCTTCATTTCTGAGGCAGGGCTAGAACTACGATTAATCCAATCATCATCATCTGAATTGAAGATTAACCATAATAAGAACAGCAACAATTAAAATGTACCCTTTCCTATTTCTAGTGGAATAGAGTTCCACTGGTCACCAATATGAGAAAGCGAAAACAGCCTTCAGCTATTCCCTCTTATTACCAAGCGGCAAGACATATCACACACCCCTTCCTTAAGAAAGGATTGTGAAGCAAAGCAGCTTGCAAAAACAGCTTTACAAACTTACTAGAATGTTGCAGTCGGATGGATCAGAAACCACTAGTGTCAGCCTTGATAAAATCTTAATTGGCTTGGATTTCCCCTGTAAAGAAAAACCTGTGAGAAAAGAAACCTAGGCAACAAGACGTCTACTCTTTATTGAAGGATACTTTATTCTCAATAAGAGCCTACACAAATCTTCATTACCACAGAGGCGTGCCCTTTCCTTAATTCAGAAAACCTACGGCACCTATTGTCTTCTTAATCAGACAGCCCACCTTGGAAGCCAACACGACTCTATGTGTTATTTTACTCTATGTAAAGTAAGACAAGAAAGTCCACAACTTTTTTGTCTTACTTTACAACCTCCATCTGTTTTGATGCCACAACTAGGAAATTACTACTAAGCTTTTAGGCAGAGTCATTTGTGAGATGAGGAGACTATATTAACTTGATTAATAAGTAAATCAATATTATTCAGTTGTAATAGGTCAGGGCTGTCAAACTTGCGGCCCACAGGCCAGATGGGTCATACGCTGGCCATGCCCACGCCCAGTTTAGCAAAGGGAAAAAAGTCACGATGTGTCAGGTGACGATGCTGTGATGGCGCAAATTTGACACCCCTGTAGTAGAGATGGTGGTGTTTGACATTTTAATTACTTTAAGGTTTACTTTGTTTCATTTTCCGCATTATCATTTACTACTGTACTTTTCCATTTGTTTTCCATTCCTGTTATTGAGTAAATATTTGCTGTGTGTATATGTGTGTGTAAGCTAAAGATTCCTTAAAGTTGATCTGCTCATTAATGTTTCTGGAGAGCTCAAACAGGACAAGATGCTGCTGACAATGTAGCTCCACCCCTTTTTATATGTCACACTTGCAGCACATATAAAAAAGGGGTATGGTTTAATCACACAGTTATCTTCCATCTTGACCCCTCACCCTTCTGGTTCTCAGTGGCTATTCCTATTGATTGATTGATTGATTGAATCCATTTGTCACCAATCTTGCTGTAGGGCTGCTCTGGGCAGCATATAATGGTAAAACAAAAAATAATAATAAAACAAAATGCAAAAATAATAGCAAAGCAATGAAACAATAAAAATAAACAATAAAGGTACAATAATTAAAAAGATGGGCAGAGGAGGAATAGGAAGCGCTGCGGGGAGGTGGGGTCAGCTAATTACCATTGTGGTATTTCCCTATTGGGTCCCCAGGCCAACTGGCAAAGCCAAGTCTTCAGGCCTAGCAATTACTGTGGTACTAATAAATGTTTTAGAAGAGTTATTCCCTTGAGGAGGGCACACATTTTGGCAGAGAAGCAAAGCAACAAAAAATCCTCCTAGACTGGAATCAGTAAAGGCAGGAAGACCTCACAAGGTTTTCTTCTTATCTGTGGAAGTAAAACCATAATAAAGCAAACTATTGATCATTTCCTACCGCACATAAGCTTATAAACTTCCCATCAGGGACAACTGCTTTATTTTATGTAATGATAGGACCAGCCCCATCAGTGGTACCTCATTCTCATCTGTTTGGGCTTTGGTTTAAATGGTATAATGCAGGAAACCTGCCAGTCTCACTTGGTAGACCAGATCAGATCAACTCCACAGGAAAGCTAAATCTACTTCGATTGAAATGGGCAATAATGAGGGACATTTGCAGGTGCTGTATCTTCTTCTTATTCACCAATGAATTTTGGAGATGTTTGCTTCAGCCACTTCCTAATGTTATCTGAACTTTTAAAAAAAACTTTTCAGTTCCTTTTCGCTAATAATGGTTCCTGGATATCTCCATCTTCCTTACTCTTTACATAATTCTTCCACAAGCACATGAATTTCATTTAGCTGGACCATTCCAAAATTAAAATATTATCCTGCCCATAAATAGCCCAGACATCCAGTACAGCAACCTAATGTTTGCTTGGAATGAGTCCAAGTTTTCTATGAGGGGAATATCCTAAATAGATCATATTTGAGTTGATAGCTACCAAGCATCAGTCACAGGGCATTCTATACCATGGTTATTTACTTTATTTAGTTTCCATATTTACATTTTGCCTCAGTTCTAATGGATCCTGAGCAGATAACATCAGAGTAAAATGTACAAAACAAAACCAAATAAATGTTGAAGGATCTAAAGGTACAAATTCAGAGTCTTGCATGAGTCCTCCTTAGAATGTGACAGAAGAGGGGAATATAAAATAAATCAGGAATAATAACAACAAACACAGATCATTTTGTTTCATATCAATACAATTTATATTCAAATTAAAATGTCCTAAATGCTATCTTTAGTACCTATGGGAGATAGATCTGGCATCTTCGGGACTAACAGCCTAAAATGTACTATGTAATTTAGCTGGTGCTGGAGAAGACTCCTGTGAATCCCTTGGATTGCAAGGCAGTCAAATCGGTCAATCTTAGAGGAGAGCAACCCTGACTGCACTTTAGAAGGCCAGATCCTGGAGATGAAACTCAAATACTTTGGCCACCTAATGAGAAGGAAGGACTCACTGCAGAAGAGCCTAATGCTGGGGAAGATTGAAGGCAACAGAAGAATGGGACGGCAGAGAATGAGGTGGCTGGATGGAGTCACTGAAACAGTAGGTGTGAGCTTAAATGGACTCCAGAAGATGGTAGAGGAGAGGAAGGCGTAGAGGAACGTTGTCCATGGGGTCGCGATGGGTCAGACACGACTTCGCAACTAACAGTTTGGATTTTCAGGGATTTTTAAATAAAGCAATTTGCTTATTCTGAATGCTTCCATACCACTTCAATTACAATAACTCGAAGCAACTTTTTTTTAAAAAAGGCCTATCTTCCACATTCTAAGCACATTCTGCTCATTCCACTTGTTTGCTGTGTACAACCAGACCGTAATTCCTGGACATGAAAGTTCAATGGAATTTCTTTCAAGGAAACAAAATAATGTCACAATCTCAATGAAGCCTACCAGGTGATATCTGCATTTCAGAATACAATGGTTTTAAATACATAGGCATACCTGTACAAGAGGCAAAGATGAAAACAGTTCTGCAGGAGTTATTGGCTTGACTATTTCCTAGGAACAGATATAAAGGGAAAAAATCACAAATATATCCACCAACAGAACCCCCCCTCAAACAGATAACTTATATGCAAAGCTGTACTGAAAAAATATTTATGAAATAAACAACAAAAAAGCCAACCGACACGAAGAGTTATTTCCATAATCTACGCTTTCTTTTCATAGCCATCAACGGTTGATCTATTCTATATTGTTCAATTCTGCAAATCACTGAATAGTTGTTTGGGTTTCAGCTATAGGACAGATAAGCAAGAGAGGATATTATTTTTATAGTTGAATTCTATACACATCTATGAAAGCCTGGAATGAATGCACTGGACTTATCCAAGGAAATATTAATGACCCACAATGGGCAATCTACTAACCAACATTCATGAATGTGGAATCTCACAAAATCCAGCTGTTCCCTTACATTTTTTTTTCTCACTGCAACCAGCAAGACTGAAAAAAATGCTGATGGTCCAAGAATTCTCACCATGACTTTGGTTTTAGTTTTATTGCATTCTCCTATTTGCCAAGGTAGATATTTGTGAGTTCTTAAAAGCCTAAAATGCAGCTCAGCTGCCACCCCAGTTTGAAATGATGTGGAACCTTATGGTTCAAGGATTTGGATAATGCAGATACTCTGACAGTCTGTAAACTGACTGGCCCTTCCTTCAAACTAGTGCTCCCTGAACATCCTGAAGATTCATCTTTCATCATCTCTAGCTGAGAATAGTGAATTCTGTCACATCAACGGTATGTGTATATGCATGTAAGAGTCTCTGTACAGATTGTCCTCAACTTACAACCATAATTGAGGCAGGAATTACAGTGGTAAATCATGACATGACTACAGCAGATTTTATGATCTTTGTTTGTGGTAGTTGTTAAAAAAATGTCAGTTGTTAAATGAGCACTGCAGTTGTTATATGAATCCATTTTCCCATATGAATCCAATGGGTATTTTTTTTTGACAGAAATAGGAAATGGATACCAGGAACTAGTAAAAAAATATCAAAAATTGTGTTTACTGTAAATGGTAAATTTACAAATCCAATTCATGTGACCACAGGCCCTCGGAACTTAGAAAACAGGTTGTAGGTCACTCTGGGGAGGTCCATTGTTATCTTTGAATGGTTGATTGGCAAGAAGTACCTATATAAAGCCTGTTTTTCAAACCTGGCAACTTTGAAATGTGTCTGAGCTTCAATTCCCAGAATCCTCCCCCCCCCCCCCACAGAATTCTGGGAGTTGAAGCCCACACATTTTAAAATTGCCAAGTTTGAAAAACGCTGGTATAAACGCTGTACACAAAGCAAGGCTGTGCAGATCCTTTGAAATTGGGGTCTTATATTAAGAATACCTAAGTAATTATTAGTGGCTGTTTCTTTCCCCAGATTTTCATGGCTGGTTCAACTACCTCCACATTCACCTTGCTGCCACACAAAGATTTATCACTGCCAAGACACAAATATTACACCATCTTTTGTCCAGTAAAAAACAAAAACAAAAAACAGCTTCTCAACCCATCTTCTGAGGGAGATAGGTGGTTAAGAAATATGAAATAGGAATGAATAAATAAAAAAATAACCCAACTAAGTCTGCCTGCTCAGTTTTCTAGCCATTCAAAGAAGATCCACATTTTTGTAAAATAAAGTAAAGCAAACTGATTATCTAATGCTCAGAAATCACATTACTCTTGTGTTTGTTCTGCTCTAACACTCTTTGTCCGTGTAGAAAGAAGTCACTCTTACAGCCTGCAAAGGCATCACCCACATAAGGTCATAAAGAGTAAATGTTTCAGAGAGAAGACTTACTTTTTTCTTTTCTTTATAGTTGACAACATAATTGATTGCTACACTTGAATAGCCAACTTAAAAAAGAAAACATAATACAGTTAATCAAGAGAAGCAGGATATTCAAAAAGGGAAAAAAAGCATTTTAGTTGATGCAGCTGGAAGCTACCCTTATGCGGCTTTCTATGTATACTAGATGATTTCCTCTGTCTTATTCTGAATTGCAATTACACAATTTATGAATATACATATATATTTTTTATTTTCAGGCACCAAAAGAAATTGAAACTTTGGACTGAATTACACACAACTGTAAACAAAATTATTTCCATCTGAAGATCCAATAGGCTTAAGATAAATTTTACAATCATTTTGCAGAGTGTCAAGAACAAGTTAGTAATTAAGTAAAAGAGCCCTGAATAATATTATATGCTTGGTGTTTTGTTGTTGTTCACTTGTTAAGTCATGTCTGATTCTTTGCAACCCCAAATACTGTATTTCTGTTCTGATTTAATGCAGGTATCAATTCCAACAAATGATGATAAAAAGTTAAAACTAAAATTGTGAGATTGTCTGGGCCAAGGATTAAAGCACCAAACTAAACCCAGGAGATTGGATGGGAGTTCTAATTCTGCCTTAGGCATCAGTCAGTCTCTCAGCCCAACCTATCTCCCAGGTTAGTTGTTATGGGGAAACTAGGAGGAAGGAGTATTAGGTATGTGAGTTGCCTTGAGTTATTTATAAAAATAATAATAAAAGCAGGATGAAAATAAATACATGAAATAGTTAACACAATCTTCAAAATATTATACACACACACATGCACATTAAAAAAACCTCTAGATTACAGCATTTGAATTTGTTCATATTTAGCTTTTTCTTAATTTTTTACTATATATATTCAAATCTTCAAAATTCAATGGACATGCCTGAGGCTATTCAGGTCTAAGACTTATATCAGGTCTTAGAGCTGTGGTTTTCTCTTTTTGTAGTAATAACTTTTAAAAAAAATCAATGTGGCATTATGGTCCCTGAGCACATCCAGAGTATTTATTATTTTAAGGAAGAGAATTTAATGCAACCTTTTCACTTCAGTCTGTGAAAACATCAACAATGGGGAAATAGGCAGCAATGGGTAATAATCAAAAGCATTTCACATACTGTTCTAATCTTCCAAGAGGAATGCTTGTGCCATTTCTGTTTAGATTTGAAAGCAAATTTGCCTCTTGACCTCCCAACTCTACACAACCATTCGCACAATCTGAAGATGGCGAGATTGAATGGCAAAAAGGAAAATCCACAATCTCCAAGTTTAGGCTAGTACTTATAATGGATTTCGATTAAACTCGGAAATAGCGGAGCCTCGCCTTTATAGAAGGCATCGATCTAAACTCACGGTGCGCTGCAGCCTCCACCAACTTCTGCAAGGCTTCTTTCTCCGGCAAGTAGAGGATATTCAGGTCTGCAAACGCGGCCATCTTCCATCCACGTGCAAGGAGAAAAAAAAAAAACAAGCCTTGCGCCTTTAGCGTGCTTTGCATGTTGGGAAATGTAGTTTTTATAAAAACTTAGTTTGCCCAGAGTTGTTCGGTTTTTTGTTTTTTTTTCCGCAGAGCGCGAAAGGAAGCGGCACATGTGCTATGTTCAGAGATACGGCTGTAAATTATTATTTTTTTGAAAGGAAAGGAAAGGAAGAAGACAAATGTTTTTTGTGTATTTGTATATTCTTCAGGAAAGCGGCGGTTGTTTCCGTCTTTAATGGCGTGGGAAACAGAGTTTATTGTTTTTACATAAACTTTTATTTGATTTGTCAATCGCTTACAAGATGATAGGTATAAGTATAAACATGAGTAAGAATACAGGAAATAGGTACAAATAAATGGGGTCAATAGGAGAGGGACGGGAGGCACGATGGTGCACTTATGCACGCCCCTTACAGACCTCTTAGGAATGGGGTGAGGTCAATAGTGGATAGTTTGAGGGTAAAGGAGTGGGGGGGGGGTGTTAGAGGATGTAACTACAGAGTTAGGTAGTGCATTCCAGGCATTGACCACTCTGTTGCTGAAGTTGTACTTTCTGCAATCAAGTTTGGAGCGGTTTACATTGAGTTTGTATCTGTTGTGTGCTCTTGTATTGTTTTATGTTTTATTTATTTATGTTATTTGTCAAGCGATTATAAGATAACAGGTATAAGTATAAACATAGTTATGGATACATGAAATGGATACATATAAGAAAAATAAAAAGAAACAATAGGACAGGGACGGTAGGCACGTTGGTGCGCTTATGCACGCCCCCTACAGACCTCTTAGGAAAGGGGTGAGGTCAATAGTAGACAGTCTAAGGTTAAAGTTTTTGGGGTTTGAGGAAAAAAACCACAGAGTCAGGTAGAGTATTCCAGACATTGACCACTCAATGTTTGATATGTGCGTTAAATGGAACAATTATAAGCTGTTTTGAAACTAGGTGGCTCTTCATAGCTAAAACCACAAATCTCAACAAGCTAAATGCCAACTGAAACCCCAAGCAGAGGATGTACAAGAATAGTAGAGCTTGTGCTAGCAAGAAGTTGGCTATGATTAACATAGATGGAGGGGGGCTTTTAGGGGAAATAAATGCCATAAAAAGTAAAATGCTTTGGCAAAAAGGGGAAGGGGCCGTGAATCTGTGTAAGAGGGTAAGAAGTTGGTGGATGTTTCATTCTGTATTCACCTTTTGTGTATTTATGTTTGCAAATACAAAAAATTTTTTTTAAAAAAAAAATAAAATTCTTTGCTGCTTTCAAGTTATTGTCTTGGGAAGTTCCATATGCAAACTCGTACTGTTTATAACAACGGCGTCTCTCCACTTAACAAGTAAATCAGTGTTTCTCAAACTTGGTTACTCTAATGTGTACATTTCAACTCCTGGAATGTTGGCTGGGGAAATCTGTGAGTTGAGGTCCACATATCAAGTAAATGAATAAGCTGAATAAGATTTTGTGGTGCAACAAAAAGATTTTGTTGGCTTATGATCACAATGGAGCTCAAAATTTCTGTTAAGTGAGACATTTGCTAAGTGAGTTTTGCCCCATTTTATGACCTTTCTTGCCACAGTTGTTAAGTGAATCACTGCAAGTTACTAACCCTGTTTTTAAGTGAATCTGGCTATCCCATTGACTTTGACTTGTTGGAAGGTCACAAAGAGTGATCACGTGACCTTGGGACACTGCAATGGTCATAAATATGAAGCAGTTGCCAAGCAAGCGAATCTTGATCACATGATCATGGAGATGCTGTAAAGGTCATAACTGTGAAAAATGGGCATAAGTCATTTTTTTCAGCACTGTTGTAACTTTGAATGGACACTAAACAAACTCTTACAAGTGCGAGGACTATCTGTAACTCTTCAAAATGTTGCAGGAGACTGAGTCGTGCTTTCAGATGTTCCTGAATTGTCCATCCAGCAAAAAGTTGCAGAAGAAAAAGTTTCAGAAGAAAAGGGGGAGGGGACCTTACAAATTAGGCCAGTGTTCTAACCATGGTTTGTGGTCTATGAGGTTTGTAGTTCAAAGTCAGATTGAATGCATGGTCAATGTTAAGTGCTGCTGTCAACCTTCAGAGACAAAATTTTAATGGTTGGTTCCCTCTACCAACCAGAAGTTTTAGAAACTGCAAAGGCTAGTCCAAATGAACTTCTTTCCAAACTACTATTACTACTACTACTACTACTACTACTACTACTACTACTACTACTACTATCTTCTCCTCCTCCTCCTCCTCCTCCTCCTCCTCCCCCCCCCCCCCCCCCCCCCCCCCCCCCCCCCCCCTCCTCCTCCTCCTCCTCCTCCTCCTCCTCCTCCTCCTCCTCCTCCTCCATGTATTCCTGCAGATGCAGGGTCCGCTTTTTGGATCATTGAACGCCACTTTGCGCAGTCAGCTGCGTCTCCAGGGTGCAGGCCCACAGCTTGCATGTCTTTGTTGATAGTGTCTTGCCATCTCTGTTTTGGATGCCCACGAGGTTGCCAGCCATTGACTTCTAGTTGATAGGCTTTTGGCAATGGTGGAAAATGCTGCTCTTTGGACATTTCCATACCAGTGGAGCCAGCCTTTTCTCATCTTCTCTGTTATTGGTGTCGTACTAAAATGCTGTTGAATCACCATTTGTGATGTGGTCATTTGTGATGTGGTCATTTGTGTCATTTGTGATGTGGTCAAGAAGGGAGATGCCCAATATCCAATGGAGCATTTCCATTTCCATGGCATGGACTGAGCTGAAGGCCGCTATTGAAGCATCCTGGTCTTCCATAACACCTCAGCAGTGCCACAGGCTGATAGCTTCCATGCCATGCCGCATTGAGGCAGTCATTGCTGCAAAAGGGGCCCAAACCAAGTACTGAGTACATCTGCATGCTTATACTTTTCAGAGGTCTGATATTGTTTTATGGACAATCCTTGTTTTATTGATGTAATATTCTAATTTTCTGAGATTGTGGATTTGGGGTTTTCATGAGCTATAAGCCATAATCATCACAATTATGACAAATCACAGCTTGAACTATCTTGCTTTGCATGTAATGAGTCTATCTCATATATTTGTTTCACCTTTTAAGTTGCATTACTGAAATAAATGAACTTTTGCACAATATTCTAATTTTGCGAGTTTCACCTGTATTTGTTTCTTTACCTAGAGGCAGCTTTTAGCAAATTTTACAGGAATTGGTTTGGCCAGATCTGGTGAGAAATTGATACGATACCTGTATCAATTAAAATAAAGATCATTGTAGCACTTTAAAGGTGGGCTGTATTTGGCCTGTTTATTGAAATTATCGTTCCTCCTTTGTTCCAATAACTAAAATGAAAGATGTTGTTAAGCTTTTAAAATTACCTTCACACATTTCTGCTGTGTGTGGCCAAGGGAAAGATGCACCAGCAGTTTATGCACCATGTAAAACCCAAACAAAATATTCACATCTGCAGATGGTGTTGTTGCCTTTGGGGAAAGTGGACAAGTTGTTTCCCTAGAACAGGTTCTTGATAATGATTGAGAGTGATTTTTTCGGTGCACAAAATGGCCTTTCCTGTAAAACCCAGAAACAGAGTACAAACTGTTGTTGCTTTCTTCAGTGCTACATTGACATTGTGATGTGTAATGGTTTTTCCATTAATCCATGATTTCATATTTATTTATGCCTTAGTGTTATACTTTGGGTGTTATTATAATAAACCAAGTAATTATAATACAGTGATAAAACAATCAGAAAAATGTACAAAATGATGAGGAACATTTATGTATTTAATCACTACATTTGTACAGTGCCTGACTCCTAGTGACTCTGGATGGTTCGAGTAAAAAAACGGGTGGAAAAAAACCAGTCCAAGGAACCAAAAGTAGCAAATATAAGAAGCAGGCTGCCCAGAAGAGGCTTCAAATATCCTAGCCAAGAGTCTGGATCAAGAGCCAGGAATTGAGGCTTTGCTCTTGAAACCTAACTAAAAACAATCCATATAAAATTAATACAGAATTGGTTTAATATTTAACATATTATTATTTCTAGACTATATAGACTGTCAATTCCGAGACAGCTGGCGAGACCAAAGAAACAAAAATGACATAGATTTCAGGAAGATATGTTTGTTTGTTTTTTGCTTTTTTGTACCTTCATGTCAATGTTGATTCCTGGCTGGATTAATTCTGCAATTTCTTGACAAGATTTGTCAGAAGTGGTTTGGCCTTGGCAACTTCCTGTGCTGAGATAAAGTGACTAATTCAAGATCACTGAGGTTTTGTGCCCAAATTGGATTAGAGCTCACCTGATTTCCTGGATCTCTAGCCTGATGCCTCAATCACTATATTAAACCGGGTCTCATATTTGAAGCGGGTTTGTGGTAAATACAGAATCTTGAAAATTAAAAGAGGAATTCCTATGGCATGGGGACATCCCTGCTTCACATGCTTAATTTCATTATGAGATGAGTAGTGGAATACATGAGGCAAATAGAGCTTAGCAACCTTATGAGTGATGTTGCATCTGCATCTCAGCGGTGTTTGGTCACCTTACAACCATGGACCTGGTCTAAATGACAGGACCCAATAAATATTAGAAGTCACACATTAGATCAGGGTTTTGACTCCAAGCAATTTTGATATGGTATGTTGGTAAAGGACTTTACCATTGGTCTTTTGCTGTAGTCTAGTCAGTCTCTGTTTTTAGGCTTGTACAAAGTTAGAACCCACCCCTCTTCTAGAAGAATGAAATATTTTAGGAAATATTTTTTAAAAAGGCAGAATATTATATTTCCGTAAAAGGAGAAATGGAGAAACACGCTCTTGGAGACAGAAAGCAGGCCCCACCTTCCTTAATAGCCCTCAGCAGATATCAGCACTTAAGAGATAAAGAGCTATTGAAAGAAGCCAAATATCTAGGTAGCTCTATTCATAAGCAAATACCCTCACCCAAGAGCCAAAACAGGAGAAAAGCCATTAAGCCACAATAGGAATTACCCAACACCCTTTCA